CTGAGTGCCCGGCTCAGGCCGCTCGTGGCTTTGGGGCCAAATTCCTGAGGTGACCATGGCATTGTGCAGCCGTGCTCCCRCCTTTCCTGCTGTGGGACACGGATCCTGGGCACAGAGCCGGGGCTCCCTGGGCTCTCAAGCTTCCCTGGAGCCCTCTGCAATCCCTGGAGCCCTCCCAGCACTCTGGAGCTGGCAGTGGGGAGCTCTGGTGCACCAGGATTGGGGTCAGGGACAAGAGGGGCCGTTGTTTTTCCTCGCCCAAAGCTGACGCCCGCGCAGGCAGCTTGGCTTGGGATCAGGCATGGAGGGAGGGCTGGGATCTTACTCCATTGTTTTGGGGAGAGGAGCAGGAACAGCTGTGCTGAGCTCCCAGCCCTCCATCCCACGGGAGGGGGAGCTGAGGTGGGTGTCCAAGGGAAGCATGGCATTCCCGAAGTTTTGCCAGCTCTGGAGTGGAGCAGGGAATTGAGCTGTGTTGTTTTTTTAATATAAAATCTTACAGAAAGCCCGGGCCCCAGCTGTGGAGCTGGAATGGGACAGGAATGTCTTGCGGAGGGCTGTGGGATCATGTAGCTCCATCACCGTGCTCGGGATTTRCCCAGAGATCCCTGGAGGAGCCTTTGGACTCCTCTGGGATGCAGGAAGTGGTGATGCCTGAAAAGGTGGCTGCCCCCCGCTCAGACCTCTGTGGCTCCCTGTTCCCACCCTGCCATGATCCTGCCTTTCCAGGATCACGAGGTCCGGCCTCCTCTTCGATCCCACCTTTCCCGACGATGTCACCAAGCTGGAAATCTCCGGAGTCTCCTACTTGGGCAACAAACTGGCGTTCACCATCACCGGGGAGGAGATCAGGGTGGAAGTGACTGAGACCTCCCAGGACCTGCCAGCATCRCCCCTGGAAGCGGTGCTGGAGTCAGGGCAGCGCTTTCCCCTGCGGGAAGGTATGGCAGCGCTGCCCGGATTAATCCCCRAAATAATTCAGGAGGAAACTGTTCCCATCTCTCACAAAAAGGGGTTTTGTGTTGCAGGACAGAGGATCTCCTTCCCCACAGCTCCTGGCCGGTTCCAGAGGTCACCCAGCAGGACCCCTTAACCTCGGCTGGTCCGGGCATTGCCCAGCACAGCAGCAGCAGATCTGGGATTTTGGTGGGGGAGGGGGAAGGGAATGGAGGCTCCCGAGCTGTGCCAGGCGGCCTTTGCCCCCTGAGGACTGTGTGTGCCACCTGTCCTTGTGTGCCACCCATCCYTGTGGCCCTGGGGCTGTCCCCATGGCTGGGGGTCACCACATCTGAGCCCCCCCACTCGACTCCACACATCTCTGACTCGGCACGGGAGAGGAATCCAAGCCTGAAAATGACCATTTAAAATGCGTAATGACCATTTCAAACACGTTTCCCCAGGTTGGGCAGGGTTGTTATGCTCTCGGCGTGTTTGTGTTTGGAAGGAAGCCCCTTCCCGCCTCCAGGATCCTGACTCCAGCTCCTTCAGCGTGTCCTGCCCTGCTCCTCACCTTCCCCCTGTGCTGCTCTGTGGGCTCAAGGGACCGTGGAGTGCTGTTTCACCAGATGAGCAGTTTTTTGGCTCTAAATATCACTCCAAAAWACGCAGCCAAAAGCCTTTTAGCCCTGTGCAGGCAGCACACGGCTCCTTTCCTGTTATTCGGTGTGTAACACTCCTGACGCGTTTTTAAACCCTTATCTACATTATTCCCCCTCTCTCCGAGCAGTTTTGGAGTTAAATCTTTTCCAACTTGGCATCTGCAGGGCTGCAGGAAGCCTGGACATCGGTGATCTGTGGTATTGTCCTGTCGGATGGCGACGAGGGCGGCATTTTTCAGTGCCTGAGCAGCCTCGGGGCAAGCAAAGATCTGCTACGGCAGTCTTTAGTGTCTCAGAAAACCCAAAAAAATTATTGTGCCTGCGCAGCATCCTCCCTCCCACACCCTCCCTGCTCCCGGGGTGGAATCGGTGAAAGCCGAAGGCGTTCCCTGCCCCGAGGGGTCTMTCCCGGCCAAGCTAACCCCAGGAATCTCGGCCCGGTTTATAAAAAGCCCCGCGGCATCTGGGAATGCTTAGGGCTGGAGCGGAGACTGTCCCGCTGCTGCCGTGTCATTACTCGGGTTCTGCTCGCCCCGTCAGAGCCACCAGCCCCTCATTAGCGGTGGCTCTTGGCAGGACAGAGGGACCCTGCTGTCCCCAGACACGGGCGCTGCGCCCGGCTTGGGATTTGGATGGGGCTGAGTGAAGTCTCGCTCTGAGCTGGGGTTAGTTGGCAGTAAAGGAAGTTCATCGTCAACAAAGGGATCCTTTAGTCCCAAACTGAGCCRTCTCAGCCCGGCAGGGAGAGCAGGGAGCAGTGGGAGTGCATCCCGAACTCCCCCCGTGTCCTGGCTGGGGTTGTCTGTGTTGCTGTGATGAATTTGCMGGTCTCAGCTCYCCKWGGTGGGGTGAGGTGGGGAGGTGACACCCCAYTTGCTTCGCCCTGTCCCCACGAGGCCGTGGAGTGTCCCTGCTTCCTCCCCTCCTCGGTCTCGGGGATCCCGGTGGGTCCCTAAATGCCTCGGGAATGACGGTGTCTCCCGGCTGCCAGGAGCCCGATCGGAGCCAGAAATTTATGTTTGGCACCGCCCTGCCCCCTTTCCGCACGCAGAAACCGGCGCTGTGTGAAGCGTTTAATGATTTAAATACAGACCACGGAAGCTGGGACTTCACACGGGATAACGGGAGGTAAAAAAAACCACAGGACAAACAAAATAACTCTGCCCTCAAAGCGCGGGGGGAGCGAGGCGGCAGAGAGGGGCGGTGGCTTTTTTGGGGGAGCCACCAGCGACGCAGAGGAGGCTCCAGCAGCCCTTCACCCCCCCGGGTCACTGATCCTCGTCGGTGCCGCTGAACTGGTAGGTRAAGAAGCCCACGGACTCCTGGGCCAGCTTGGAGAGGTGGAGGACGCCGGTGACGATGAGGGCGCCGAGCAGCAGCGGCAGCAGCACGCTGCCCGCCGTGGCCAGCGCGTTGTAACACCGCGCCTTGGAGCTGAAGTGCCGAGCSGCTTCCACGTCCCCGGACACCTTCCGGTCCCGCGCCTGCAACGGCCGAGGAGAGAGCCTTCCCTCAGACCCCTCCTGCAGCCCCTTCCCTCAGCATTTCCCTCATCCCCTTCCCTCAGCCCCTTCCTTCAGTCCCCTCGGTGCAATCACATCCTACTCCAGGGCTTTGTCCCCCTTTCAACCCACAACTCATCCATCCACATCCATCCACATCCATCCATCCATCCATCCATCCATCCATCCATCCATCCATCCATCCATCCATCCATCCATCCATCCATCCATCCATCCATCCCAGGCTGCTCCCCCTCAGCCCCGTATCCTTTCCCACTTGTATTTTCCCTCCTGCTTCATCCAGAGCCTCTCCGACTCCAGCCCCTGCTCGCCTCCGTCTTTCCATCCAGCTGGAGATGGGATTTTCCCTCCTGCTTCCTTCGGAGCYTCTCCGGCTCCAGCCCCTGCTTATCCCCATCTTTCCACAGCTGGAGCTGCTCCTGACAGGGGGCTGAGGGCATCACGGCCCCCTGGCACTTTCTAGGATGCAGCAGCTCCTCCTCGGGTGGCGGGCGGGGGGCTGTGCTTATCCAGGGCTGTCCCACAACCTCCGGAGTGAGCGGCAGGAAAAGCAGGGAGGATCCACCAGCGGCAGGTGTCCCCTACCTCCGGAGGGTGCTGGAGTCTGKCTGCCCGCCCCAGTTCCCCCAGGAGTTATCCCGAGTGCTCTGCGCCCCGCGGGGGTAGACATTCCCGGAGCCCCCGAGCGCTCCGGTCCCGCCGGTGCCGGTGCCGGTACCTTGACAGCGTAGGCGAGCGCCACGAAGCCCAGGCAGCAGAAATTCATGTAGAGGGTGTTGAAGATGGCCCAGACGAGGTGGTCGCGGGGCGCGGAGKCGGCGGGGGATGGCACCCGCTTTGGGGGCCACCGCTCGTCCCGCTGGTACGATGTGTCCATGGCTCCGGCAGCCTCGGGAGAGCGCGRCCGGTTCCCCTTTTTATACCCGTGCTGGGCTAAATATAAACCTGGGAAATTACAGCCCTGAGGGATGCGGTCGTCCCGCAGGCCGGGCCGGGAGAAAGGCTGGGATGGCGAGCCCGCGGGCTTTTTATAGCCGGCCTTGCTCGCGGGATGAGGAGCACGGCTGGCTCCGGCGTGACTCTGACCCCGCGGGAGGGTCACTGGCGAGCGGACCCCAGGAGCACCGCGGCGCTGGCTGGCACAGGTACCCCAAACCCCCGCCTCCAGGTGCGCTGGGCAGGGCAGAGCCCTCCTCGGCAGCACCTCTGGGCCGCCGGATGGACGAAATGGGAAGCGAATATGGAAAGGTGGAAGAGCCACATCCGTGGGGGTCCCCAGCAGCGGGGAGGAGAGGGAGCTGCAGGATGGAGGGCGTGGGCAGCCAAAACAGACGGTGGGGTGGTCTTTAATTTCCTTTTTCTGCCGTGCCCGAGCTGTTGGCAAGGAATTTCCCTGGGATTTAGGATGGAAGCGCCCTGCTCCGCGGCAGGATGGGGGCAGGGAGAAGAGCAGCAGGAAGAGGACGCCCCAAAGATGCCATCTGCTCCCTCCCGCGGCGAAGGAGGTGACAACGAGGGGGTTGGGCAGAACCAGCTTTATTGGTGGCAGTAGTGGCCGACAGGTGTGTCACAGGTGCCGGGAAGAGCGTGAGCAGAGCAAAGAGGGGGGGATGCCTCCCACGCCCCCACCTGATCGGACACCCGCGGTGTGGGCAGCGAGGGAACGGGGGTCACCCCCCTGGCCCCCGCGCCCCGTTTTGGGGGCAGGAGGAAGGGGGAAAGCACGCCGCGGGTGGGGCCAGGCGGTGGTCAAGTGACCCTGATGGAGGAGATGACGATGGCGGCGATGATGATGAAGATCACTAAGGCGACGGTGAACAGCACGGAGCAGACGATGTTGGCCACCTTGGCGTGGTGGCTGTGACGCCGGGCACCCTCCAGGTCCCCCGCCACCTTGCAGTCACGGGTCTGGGGGCAAACGGGGGGCTCAGAGTGACGGGGGACGGGCTGGGGGACCAACCCACCCGGGGACCCCAGGGACGTGTCACCCGGGGCAGGGTCTGAGGCCACCGGGCACTGGCCCGCGGTCCCGGCACTCGGGGAGGGGGACAGGCTCGAGGGGGCACACAGAATTGGGGGTCCCAAGGTCCGGTGGCATCGGGCAGTCGGGGATGGGAGACCAGATTTGGGGTCCAGGATGGGAGGCTGGATCTGGGAGTCCAGGGATGGGAGAGGGCTTTGGGGTGGGGTAAAGAGCGGGGAGAGGGCTCGGGGGGAGCGGGGTGGTGTCAGGGAGGGCTGGGGGTGGCGGTGGGGACTGGGAGGGGGGTCCCGAGGTGAGGGAAAGGTCCGAGGGGGGGGGGGTCGGGGGGGTGCCGGGTCGGATTTGGGGGTCCCGAGGGAGTCGGGTCTCTCGGGGGTCCCGTGCCGGGCTCAGTCGCACGGTCCTGAGAGGAGCTGTCTGGGTAGGGGTCCCGGGGCTGATCGGGGCTGGATCCGGGATGTCGGGTGGGGGTCCCGGGGCCGATCGGGGCTGGATCCGGCCTGTCGGGTGGGGGTCCCGGTCGCCCCCCTCACCTTGATGGAGAAGACGAGCGCGGGGAAGCTGAGGCAGCCCAGCCCGCCCAGCGCGCACCACAGCAGCACGTTCAACACCGACCAGAGCACGTAGTCCCGCGGCTGCGGGTCGGACTGGTGGCCGGGGGCGGCCGCCCCCCACCCGGAGGACTGCAGCGGGATGGACACRTCCGCCTGCCGGGTCTCCATGACCGGGAATGAGCGCCTGGGGCAGGAACGGAGCGAGTCCAGGGCGGGGGCCCGGCCCCGCCCCGCGGAGGGAGGAGGGGGCACGGCTCTCTGGGACCCCCACCCCGCGGAGCCTGGGGGCCAGGGCAGCTCTGGAGACCCGAGCGGGGCTTAAGGGGACTTGGGAGGCTCTGAGAGACCCTGGGGACTTGAGGGGAGTTAGGAGTTTTGGTGAAAGTTGCAACTTTTAATTTTTTTTGCGTAACTTTAGTCAGGGGTTTGTTCTCCTTTGCGCAGGGGGAGGGCAATTCAAGTTTCTCTTCAAACGATTCTATTCGCCCGGAGAGGCCCGATGACCCGAACACTCACAGACTGGGAGTAGCCAGAAGATGCTGAGGAGATAAATGACCATTAGCGAACATTAAGGAACATCAGCGAACATTAAGGAACATCAGCGAACATCACGCTGATGGCGTGGTCGGAGGCGCGAGGTCTGGGAAAAGACCGGTAAGAGAACAGAAGGATCAGGAGCAAATTAACACCGAAGGCGAGGGCATCAAGAACCGGCACGAGATCGAATACTGAGAATTGTGTCATTTAAGACMGGTGAACCAGAATTTCTCTGGGTTTTGTCTGTATAGATTTGCGAAACATCGGGAAACATCAGGGACTGTGTGTGGACAGAATGTTTTCCATGGCATATCCTGGCCAGGACGAAGTAACTCCCGACTCTGTCACTACAAACACAGTGCTGGAGGGGTTTTTTCTCCTCCCGAGTTGCAGACGGACTGGGGGGAGCTGTCCATGGCACCCCGGAGTGGTCRCAGGAGGGACGGAGGGAGGCTTTGCCGTCGACTGTTTTGGGCTGGGAAAGGGTCAATTTTTTCCATGTTGGCTCGTGTGGGGCTGCCCTTTGGATTTGTGCTGGAAACTGTTGATAAAAAACAGSGAGAGGGAGGAAGAGGGGATCTTGGAGCGATGGCCTTTGTTGTCCTGAGTTCCCATTGGATGTGCTGGGGTTTGGGCAGGCAGCAGATCCTGTTTGCAGCGAGGAGCTCCCTGTTTTCCAGGAAAAAGCGGAGCAAAAAATGATTCACCAGAGCTCAGCGCCAGGGACCCTGCAACAAATATCCGCTGTGTTTGCGAGTGGGATTTCTGACATCTTACGAGCGTGGTGTCTTGGCAGGAGCCCCATGTTCGTGGGGAGAGGGAAAAACAGGGTTTTGTTCCCGTCCTTGTGGGGCCCCAGCCCTGTGGACCGGGGCCTGCCGAGGGCGAGGAGTGCGAAGGGGAAAGCCAGGCCAGCTGCATAGCTGAGGCTCTGCCAGATGGGCTCCAGCCAGGATTTTCCATGTCCCTGCCGGGTCTCTCCGGGCTCGGCCGGAGCCGGGTGGGCGSTGGCACATGTGACAGCCCGGAGGTGCGAGGATCGCTGCCCTGCCGGCCCTTCCAGCCCGGTGACAGCGACAGCTGCTGYTTGGTGAGGCTTCCTCCGGCCAGAGTTCCCCTCCCTGTGGGATGGGGAGGGAATCGGGAGCGTAAAGCGAGGAAAYGGATGGACTGGGATGAGTTTATTAGCGAAAGCGCAGGTCACACATGCCAGTGAAGCAGAAGGTGGAATTCATTCCCTGCTTCCCGTTGCAGCCAGGCAGGCAGCAAGGCAGCTGTTCCTGGGGAAAAACAGGCTCCAGGCAAGTGGGGAGGGGGCTGTGAAGCACAGMAGGATCCCAGATCACCCGGCTGCAGGGGAGAGCAGTGGAATCCAGCTCCAGCGAGGCGATTTGGGGTGGAGCCGCAGCATCCCCGGCTCTCTTCACCCTGGGAGCCACTCCAGCCCCGCTGACCCACAGAATCCCATTCCAGCACATCCTGCCCAAGCCCTTGGCACATCCCACCCCACCAAAGCCAGCCTGCCCTCAGCTCTGCTTGCCCCCAGCCCTTCCCCGGGGCCGGTGAGGATGGGGCTGCACCCTGGCATGGGTGAGGGTCCACCCACATCCTTGGGGTGACCCTTACAAGAGCTTCAGACCCCACATRGATGCAATCTCCAGGTTCCCGGAGCCTGACATGTCCCTTGAGCATTGTCTCTGTGATTTGGGACAGTTTTCCCCTCCCCCAAAGGGCACACGCTCGGGGCTGGTGTTGTTTTTCATCGGAAAAAGCTGCTGTGCAGAAACCCCAAACCACTTCCCCACAATACAAAAACCAGGCCAGGGACAAAGTGAAATCTTTATTTGGGGCATGATTTCTCTGAAACAGGTGCTACGTCTCGGGATTTTTTTGTGGCAGCTGGGGCTCCAGACCCAGAGCAAAGCAGCGAGTGGGCTACAGYGGGGTCGGGAGGGGCACACGGAGGGTGCACCCAGTTCTGAGGGTGCGGGTGTCGAGGGTGGGTGGATGCATCAGCGGGCAAGGAGCGGACTAAGTGGGGCCTTAGTACCGGTACCGGTACGATGAGGCATTGGCACTGGCGACAATCAGGACCACGACGACGATGATGACGATGATGACGATGATGATGTTGATCACCAGGGCCGCGATGTTCAAGTACTTGGCCGTGGAGCCGTAGCTCAGCGCTCCGCTGTTGTCACTCAGCACTTTGCGGTCCCTGGACTGTGGGGAGGAAAGGGCAGAGTCAGTGGGGCTGCACGGGGCACCTCGGGGGGCTCAGGGCTGCGGGGGGTGGGAAAGGTGCTGGGGGTGTCGGACCGGGCTGAATTCCCCCAAAACACCTGAGGTCCCCACTGCCCCCCCTGCCCCAAACCCTTGCCTTCTCCAGAGCTTCCAGCCGGGGCTCTGTGGGGTCAGTGGTCCTTGGAGAGGGGACTCTGTGTGGTCCATRGGGTTTGTGGGGTCCGTGGGACACCCCTCCTGAACTGAGGCTCTGTGGGGTCCATGGGTCTCCCTGGGGCTTGGGGCTCCGTGGGCTCCATGGGGCATCCGGGCCGGGGGCTCAGTGGACTCTGTGGGTGCCCCTGATATCGGGGGCTCAGCGGGGCCGCCCCCCACCCCCTCTGCCCCCCGGGCTCCCCACCTTGACGGAGAAGACGAGCGCCAGAAGGCCGAGGCAGCAGACATTGCCGTACAGGATGGTGCAGATGGACCACACCAGGTGATCCCGGGGCGGTTTCGGCGGCGGCTCCTCCATCGTCACCGTGGTGCTCCGGGGCAGCTCCTCCATGGTCACCCCCGCCGGCAGCACCTCGTACGAGTGCGTCGACGGCTGCATCCCTCGGGCTCGGGGACACCGGCGGCGGCGCAGGCAGAACGCGTGRTGGTCCGGGAGGTRTAGGCACCGGAGGGAGGGGYGCAGAGGTGCTGGTTTCGTTTCTTCGAGATTCAGGATGCAGCGGAAAGAGGCCGCCCCTCCGGTGAGGGCAGAGGAGGCTCCTCCTGCGCGGCGGGAGAACCCCGGACCCGCTTTCCTCGTTGCCTTTCTTCATCCCTCTTGTTATCCCTTTCACGCTTCTTTCTTTGCCCGTTCTTTGAGCCCTTTTTTTCCTTGTCTCATTCTTTACCTGCTCTTCGCCAGTTTTGCTTCAGCCTTTTCTTTCTTTGTCCCCTTGTTTCCCTGTCTCATTCCTTGTCCCCTTTTTTTACCCCCATCCTCCTTTCATCCTTCACCCCATTCTTTACCCTGTTTTTTTTTTTTTTTTTTTTTTATTACTGGGTTTTCTTTGATTTTTACCCTGCTGCGCTGTCCCTCTCTTCCCTTGTTCCCCGCTTTATCCCCTCTTTGCCCACTTCTTTCCTCACCCTATTCTTTCCTTCCCCTTATTGTTTTTTCCTCACTTCTTTCCTGTCCCTCTCTTTGCMCCCTTCACTGCCCTCTTTTTCCCTTGGCCCCCTTCTTTACCCCCTTTTTCTTTCTCCTTTCTCCCCCCGTCTCTTTCTCTACCCCTGTCTTGTCCTCTTCTTTGTCCTCTCCCAGGGAGCAACAATTTTGGGGTGCGTGGAGAACGGACCCTAAACATCCCGCTTTCTGGGGATGTCGTTTGGGATCCGTGGRAAGCTCCGGCTCCCCAGGGCAATCCCCCTCTCCAGTTTTACGGTGCGAGAGAGCCTGAACTGTGTTAACRCATCGGAATCCGCAGGATACGTAACATTTTACTGGCAACGCCGGGAATGTTTCTCATTAAAGAARCCGAACGAGGATGGCCCCGCCCTGGAATTTGGGATTTGTTTTCTGGGAATCGCAGCCCAGGGCACCGGTGCCCTCTAGTTTTCCTTTTTCCTTTAATAACTTATTTGTCTTGTGTTTTTGCCCCCAGCCGGAGCCGCGGCGAGGAGGTGACACTGCCCGTGGAATGGGAGCAGAGGGGAAAAGTCCCATTGTTTTTCACCCCTGGGCTGCGGAGGGGAGAATCGGCCCGCACATCGGTGCATGGAGTCGCGGACGGTCTCAGCCCGTGGAYCCCGGGCTGAGTGGCCGATCCTGGCGATCCCGGCACCCAAAAGAGAGGATCTGGGCAATGCAGCCCCCASGGGACTCCTGCACCCCGCGAGTGGGAGGCGGGGGGGCGCAGCCGCCATGGGACCCCCTCACCCACCGGGCGGGATGATCCCCGCGCTCATCTTGGGGTGATCCCGGCCCTGATCCCCGTGATCCCCGCACTCATTCCCGGGATGATCCCGGCCCTGATCCCCGTGATCCCCGCACTCATCTTCTTGGGGTGATCCGGGCCCTGATCCCCGTGATCCCCGCACTCATCTTCTTGGGGTGATCCCGGCCCTGATCCCCGTGATCCCCGCGCTCATCTTCTTGGGGTGATCCCGGCCCTGATCCCCGTGATCCCCGCACTCATTCCCGGGCTGATCCCGGCCCCGATCTCGTGGGATTCCCGGGGATGGGTCCGGGGGGTCCCCGCGCCCGTGGGTGCCGATAGCGCCCCCCTGCGGACCGAACTGGGCTCTGCAGCCCCCGGCCGCGGTCGTGCAGGAATGTACCATCACCGCCGCGGGGGGGAGGGGTCGGGGGGCGGCCCCGCCGAAACCCGCGTCACGGATCGCGCCGACCCCTCCGTCCCCGCGGCACGGAGACCCCGTTCGCGTCCGCCTCGCCGCCGCCCCACTGTCCCGCCGCGCAGGACCGGGGACGGGGCCGGGGACACGGATCCCCCCCGCGCYCCGCATGGCCGCGCCCGCGGCGCCCCGCGGGGATGCCGGACCGTTGGCGTGGAGACGCGCGGCGCCTCCGCAGGCCCCGCCTCC